CCGTGACAGGAAGTGATGTCAGATGTGTCTTCCTGTAGAGCTGAATGTCACGAGAGCGGACAGGAACATGTCCCGCTCATAATTCACCATAAAATCAATAGAAAGAAAGACTAAACTAACTGTTATTATAACAGATTGTTTGCGCATATTGACATTTTACCACATAATTCTCATTGTAATGCTATATATAATAAAAAGATAAATAAATGTCTTTTTTTTTAATTTTATTTTTATCAGAGTAAAATAAGGAAGAATTCACTTAATGTTTTTTTAAATAATTTAATTTTAAAATCTGAATAAATTAAATAAATAATATTTACTCAATGATAATTCAGTCAAATATAGATAATAATAATAATAATGCTATCAAAATGATAATAATAAAAATCATTCATATTTTTGAAAGAAACATAAAAAAAATTTAATTGATCAAATAGATTAATTTATGCCAATTTATGTGTAAGATAAATAAATATATTTATATGTTTATTTAATAAGCATATTAAATATTTATATATATATATATATATATATATATATATATACACACACACACACATACAATATATATAGTGAATTAATCCTTTCATTTATTCTGATTTTAAAATGTACTAAATTTTACTCAAGCTTTGTTACTAATTACTAATTTTACTCAGGTTTGTTTTTCTAATTCCTATTATTATTTAGTAAAATAATAATAGGAATTAGAAAAACAAACCTGAGTGAAACTTGATGAGAATGAGGTATTGTGTTAATTGACATGAAAATAATGTTAAAAGGAAATAGATTTTGATAGTTCCTAATTTTATTATTATTATTTTGTTGTTTAATTTTTTTTCTGTAGTTTTGGAGTGAAATGTGAGCAGGACAGGCTTCCATGAGTTTGTGATGATCAGGAAAGTCTCCTTCTCAGCTGCTGTCTGAATGTTATTAACGAGTCGATTCAGACCTGCATTCGGATGCTTTTTAGTCTTTGTGTTGGCCGTCAGTCGTCGATGACAGATCTGCTGCTTTACTCGGTTCAGCGGAGCTTATTTTAAAGCGGTTTGTTTCTCTTTAAGTCACAAAGGCCTGTACGAATGGAGGCTCCTTTTATCAGCTGTTGACTTTGCGATAAATGAGCGTCTTTCATGCGCCGGCGTCACGAGGGCCACTTTGAAGTGAAGTTTGCTGAGCGTGTTTTGATTGAGCTCTCATTGTGAGTGGGAGAGAATTTGTGGAAGCGCAGAGAGAGGTTTTCGGGAGTTTCGCAGTGGGTCTCAACAAAAAGTGCGTCTTTCATGCGCCGGCATCACGAGGGCCACTTTGAAGTGAAGTTTGCTGAGCGTGTTTTGATTGAGCTCTCATTGTGAGTGGGAGAGAATTTGTGGAAGCGCAGAGAGAGGTTTTCGGGAGTTTCGCGGTGGGCGATTCAATGCAGCGTTTAGGAAGAAAGAGCCTGAGACAATGTAAAGACAGAAGCCGCATGTGCGTCGTTAATTACCGCCATTATAAAGTGCATAATGTTGTATTGTCTCTCCGTCATTAGAATTAGACCTGTGTGAATGTAAACATCACATTTATGTCACGCACGGCCTGCATTACTGCGGGAAATATGAACAGCGTGAAGACAATGAATGGTAGCTGTTTTTATTTAATATTAGGACACTTCGTTTTTCATTTGAGTGCAGATTTGAACAGGATTTATGAATAAATAGATGTCTGAGATGAGTTTGTGAATGTGATTTCTGTCCTTCTCTCTGTAGATCTGGAAGACAGAGCGAGTTCGTCTTGGGGGAATGGAGTTCGTGCCACAAAGGTGAGTTTTTACACATTTATAAATGCTTTTGGTTTCAGTGTTCGGGTTCAAACCCTAGTGAGCCGTCTTGCTGTAGGCTCCCTACATAGGCAGTTGACTTCTAAGGCAACATCCTAATTTAAAATGAAACTTCAGTTTCACAGATCAGACTTTGACTAATTTGACTAAATTGATGTCAATAGAGGTTGACGTTAATGTGTTTCTGAACTAATGATGCATTAACTCTAATTAGTATAAAAAATACCTGCATAGTATATTATATTATATTATATTGTATTATATAATATAATTTATGTATTATATGGATTATTTATTTTGTCATTTATATATTTATTTATATTTATTGTATATTTGTCAATTGTATTCCTCATTTAGATGTCGCTTTAGATGAAAGCTAAATTAATACATGAAAATTGATTGGGTTTATATTATATTATATTAAATATCATATTTATTTATGTATATATACATTTTTTTTTATAATTATTATATATTTATCACTTATTATATTCCTCATTTACATGTCACCTTAGATAAAAGCTAAATTAATAAATTAAATTTATTGTGTCATTTCAATTTATTATAATTATTTAATTGAAATGTGAATTGAAATTTTTATTTATTTTTTTTCTTGAATTTCACTCCATTTATTGTTTATAAACATCAGTATTTATTTCTATTTTAGATATAATGTAGTATTTATCATTTATCTAAGTGTAACTAATTAATCCACTGAAGGCGAGCGTAGTGAGAACCCAAGTGCAGTTTTATTTACAGTGTGATCCAAACATCCAAACAATAATCCAAACAAGATGCACAGACTTGACTTGACTTGACGAGGCATGAACAGACTTGACGAGAACAGACTTGACTAGACTCACCGACAGCGGGTTACAACATCAATACACAACAAAAGACAATGGCAACATGAGGACTACTTATAGCAGACAATGAGGGTCACATGACAAGAACAAACCAATGGGAAACAAGACACATGACCTAGACAACCAATCAGAACATGACACAATGAACAGAGGAACCAATGGCATGAATACATGAGGGCAAGGGAAGCATGACACAAACAGGGTGAAACAATTACAAAATAAAAGACATGAAAACATGAACATGACAAAACCCAAACACCACATTACACTAAGATTATTCATTTTAGCATTTATATATTTATTTCTATTTCTATTTGTTATGCATTTATCACTTGTATTCCTCATTTATGTGCTTTAGATAAAAGCTAAACGAATGAATGTAAATATAAATTAACTCTCGTTTTAATTCATGATATTTATCTTATTGAAACATATATATGTACAGTATACACATATTTTAAATTAGAGCCAATTCAGATTTTTGATTTTTCTCTTTAAAACAGACTCTATGTATTGTTTGCACCGTTAAACATATATTTATTTCTATTTTAGATATGATATAGAATACAATATAAACACCACTGCTGTCAGTAGAGGTTGGCGTTAATGTGTTGCTGAACTAATAATGCGTGAACTCTAATTAAATAAAAATACATGCATATAGTGTGCACAAATATTGGGTGAAATGGTTTTAATGTCGTTTATTAATTGACATTATTCAGTCATAAATGAAATGTAAGCATTTGAATTAGCACTGTCAAATGATTAATCGAGTCATTATTTACATAATATATGTGTGTGTTCTGTGTATATATAAATACACACACATACAGTATATATTTTGAAAATATTTACATGTATTTATTTATATTCATATAATTTATATTATATATAAATCTAAACAATATATTTTTCTTAAATATATACATGCATGGGTGTGTATGTATATATATATATATATACGTAATACATATACACAGTACACACACATAAACTATGTAAACAAAAACTTTTATATTGCATGCGATTAATCGCGATTTTAATACTTTTTTGCATTTTGAACTAGTCGCAGTGCATTGTGGGATTGTTTTATCTGTGTAGCCTTTGCGTCCTCAGAGTTGCATCTACATTAGGTTATTTTGACATTGTTCCGCTTGAATTTGACGGCGATGTCTGAGAGGTCATAGGTCGCTCTAATAGGGCCGTCAGCAGAATCGGCGATCAGAGGTGAATCAAGGACGTGCTTACGGAGCACTTTCTGCTCCACGCGTCCACCGAATGCAGATGACTTCACAGCTTCACCCTTGTGTAGAACACTGTCTCTGTGAATGAACTTTCCCGAGCGCTTTATTCCCAGTGACCCACGCTCACACCTGAATGACAGTCGGAGGCTGCAGGTGTCTTTAGATTCCTAACAGTAATTTACCTCGAGAGCCATGCATGAGACTGACATTAAGTCTTGAGAGTGTGGCCTGTGAACTCCTTTAATTTATGCCAGGTTTATTAATTACTTCTGAGTGAATCTGAATATTCAGTGAGGCCGGACAGGATTTATCCAGCATGATCTGATTGGATTATAATCTAAATTTTACACACTAAGGCAGGTGGTTGGACGGAAAGAAGCAATAATAATAATCTTATATTTGTGATGTCACGTGGAAACTAAAGTCATTTCAGTGATGGAACAAGTTTTTGGGTTTTGCAAAATAAGACCAATACTGAATATTAACTGTTAATAATGTTGATTTTATATATATGTAGTTTCTCTTTATTGTTTGTGCCATTAAGCACATCAATATTTATTATTTATTTTATTTTTTACATTTTATTTATAATGTATGCATTCTAATTTATTTTATAATTTTTAAATTTCTCATTACATCTCATTAAAATTTATCTTACAGAACCATGTACAGTATATATATATATATTCTCTTTAAAATAAATGGAGTTTCACTCTTTATGGATTTTGCCATTAAACACATCAATATGTTTTTGTATTTGTAGCTATGATATGATATGATATAATATAATATATTATTGTTATTTTATCATTTATATGTTTATTGTGAAATTTGTATTAATTATATAATCTTTTAAACCATGTATAGGCTTAATATGTAATATACTGTAATCTAATTTAATATAATATAATACTTATCATTTATGTATTATATATTTTTTTCGGCTTTATAAGTCACAGAGTGACTTTATTATTATTTTTTTACTTTATTTTTATTAATTTATACATTCACAATAGGGAAATACAAACATTATCAATGTATCACTTTTAAATAATGATATTAATAATAATAATAATAATAATAATGTATCACTTTTAAATAATAAAAATAATAAAAAATAAAATAATAATGTATCACTTTTAAATAATAAAAATAATAAAAAAATAATAAAATAATAATAATGTATCACTTTTAAATAATAAAAAATATATTATTAAATACATTACAGTATTGAACACTTGAAGCAAAAGGAATATATTTTATACATTTGACATAGATGAGTCCTATACATTCCCTATATGAAAACAATAATAAAAAAAAAATATATATATATAGTATGTATTATCATTAATGTATATGTTGTAATTTATGAATTTGTGTCACTTTAATTCATATTTATCTTATTTAATTGTGTCTTTTTTTAGAAGGTTATATAAAAGATATATCTTTTTGAATATAAAAACGAAATACATTTTTGAATAATATGATATATGATATGATATGATATGATATGATATGATATGATATGATATGATACGATACGATACGATACGATACGATACGATATAATATAAAGTACATGAATATATAAATGTATTTATAGAATACTTAGCATAAAATAAATGTATTTCAAAACATTTTAGTATATTTAATTTTCACTAGGGGATTCTCAATCATTTATATGCATATATTTGACCTTTAACCTTTGACCCCTGCAGAATTACGCTGATGGCTCTCAGTACGGTCACATGGCCAGTCGGGACCTGGGGTCACATGACAGCATCTCGCCACCGTACACCAACTCCAGATTAGCAGGTAAGAGCTGGAGCTGAGCATGATGGGACATGCGATTGTTTATTGGCTTTATGATGTTTCATCGGCTTTCATTGTGAGCGAATTGTTCTTTTGATGATTCGGTTGAACCGGTTCACAGATTCATCTGAATGATTCGTTAGGGAGTCAGATTGAATCAGTCATTGATTCAGTGATCAGAAACGTCTGGAAAGTGTGTGCTGGTTTGTGTGTTTCTGTCACACCTCTCTGAGAGAGTGTGTGTGTGTGTGCAGTGCTGATGCTCATTTACCCAGAATGCTGTGCTGTGCCGCTGGCCGTCTCTGTCTCATCCAGTGAGCAAATGGTCAGTGATTCAGATAATCGGCCTCAGACTAATTAAGCCTGACTTAAAGCATGAAAACTGTAATATGAGGCTGTTTGCCTCTCTCTCTATCGGTCTCTGTCATAAACATTGACTTTAAGGCAAGAACGTATTAGTATATAAGAAAATATTTATTTATTCTTTTGAGCATTGTGAAGTTATTTTACTGTATTATATTAGGGATCTTCTTAAAAATACCCCATGAAAATGGCTCGATCTGTGTGGTTTGTTTCCTGTGTTGATGTGTTTCCTGTTGAAGTTAGGGTGGAGTTTCTTTTTGAAATAGCCAGTAGAATTTAGTTTGCATCACGGCTGTGAATCATGTTGAATCGGTCGCTAGTCAGTGGGAAGGGCATTCACATTCTAGAGAGCGTTTGATTGGACAAAATTTGCATACGAGTCTCGAGTGCATGATGTCGTCGTCAGTATTTTGGTTCGTTTTTTTACTTGGAAGAGAGAGACTGAAGGTTTTTTGTTGTTGTTGTTGTTTTGTTTTGTCAGCTTTTATTAGTACACTTGCACACAAACGAGCTCACAACTAACAGACGTGAACTAAGAGCCACAAAATCACTAATTATTAATAGAATTAACTTAGATCTGGCAGAAATTGCATAATGATGCACAGCTTTTCTCTGAAATATGTGTGTATTGCACGTTAGTTTCTGACTCTCGGACGGTTGTTTGTTCGTGGCTCTCTGAGGTCAGGGCTTTGTCCTTCCACGTTTCCTTCCTGTGGAGCTCTGAGCAGACGTGACATCACTTCCTGTGTCTGAAATCCGTCTCAGGCTCTACAGTGTAAAATCAAGAGGGAATTTTGCATTTAGAGAAAAAAGTACAGAAAAAAAATTCTTTGGTGAATATTAATAGAAGATACTTGGTTGTTTTATTACAACTTAAATCACATGCAGTCAGACCTCAAATGTGAACGCAAAACGGTTTTTAAAATGTAAGCTGCTTATTTTATATATGGGTCAAAGATGAAAATGTGCTTTTTTAAGCATCAAAACAATAAAAGTTTAATATAGCTTTAATTAAAATGTATTTATTTATTTAAAGGTTTTGCCCGTTTGTCAGCAGGAAGTTTTTAATCAAATCATATTAAAATATAACAAAATTTAATATGATCACTTTTTCAAAAATTAATTATTCGGCACATCGTGTATTTAAATGTATGTATTTATTTTATTTTATGTAGAAATTGATGTATTTATTTAAAATGTATTTATTTATTACATTTTTAATATATTTTTTTACTTATAACTTATATTAGGGCTCTTAATTTATAAAAAATATATATGTATTTATTTTATTGTATGTATTGTGTAAAAATTGATGTATTTATTATTTATTTAGAATTTCCTCTAAGGCCGTCTGTAGGATAGTGAGAGGTAGAAAATGTCAGAGAAAATGAAATTGTCTTTGTACTAATGCAAGATGCAAATAATGTTTATCACAGGTCTTATTTCATTCATAAACTGAAAAGCCCTTTATAAACAACCCATAGTTCATTTCAGAAAGTTTCGGTTTTAACCGATTCTCATTACAGCAGAGCTTCATTTTCTCAATTTTTGGACACATAATAGATCTTTACTTTAACAAACCCTCATGTGTTTGATCCTTATTGAATCTTCTGCGTCCGGTGACGTTGTGTGAGCTTTACCTGTATGTGATGTGAAGTCTCTCCTGCAAACACAGATCTGTTCATTAGAAAATGACCTGTGAGTCACCATACATGCTGAGCACAGAGCAGAACGAGTGAGTGTGTGTGTGTGTGTGTGTTTGTTTGTTTGTTTGTGTGTGTGTGTGTGTGTGTGTGTGTGTGTGTGTGTGTGTATATATATAT